CAAATAAAATGCTGTGATTCCATCAGATTTCCCAATTCATATCTCATATAAAAATCACATATTCACCTAATAATTCCATTCAATGTCATTTGCCTTTCAAATGTTCTTCTATCATTCTTAATCATTTATCATAAAAATTGTTAATAGCCAATATTCTCAAAATTTCTTAAAATCATTCAAAATTAGCTGCCAGTTATCTTGAAATTTTTGTATTGATTAATTTTTTTAAAGGCAGGATATTTTGTGATTTATGTGGAATATAGTCCATCAAAGACATAATAGCTCCGCATAGGTGAAAGAGGGAACATAAATTTACTCTTATTTAGCAGAGTCAAAACATAAACTTGTGGCATTGCAACAAAAATAAATCTTATAGAGTCACAAAACTTATATAATCCTTGTATGCATCACATAAATGCAAAAAGCATGGCTTGCTCCAACTCCCAAGCGAGAAAGCACCATGTATCCCAAAACACACCCAGTTATACTCGGGTGTGTCCCAAACGTACTGGTCTTAATGAGCACCTGCATATAATGACCATCAGAATGAGGTTTTTCCCTTAACACATATATCTACTCCAACTTTGGTGTTGATTCTTGCAAAACTCACCCCATTTTCTGTATACCTTAACAGATACCTTATCCAGTTCTGCCAAACTGAGAAGTTTTATCAACCATTCAGTCACAGATAGAATCGCATTTTCCTTCCAGTGATGAGCATGTACTATTCGGGTAGCCGTAACTGCATATTGAAAAAATACCATGTCCTTTTTGTCAGTTGTCTCACTTTCAAAAACTGGAGATTTGTTTTCATATGTTTCTTCCTTGAAAGAATCTGTCACCCTTCTGTTCCTTTTATATAGGTTTTTTTGTGTATTTTACCATCTTTTTATTTCTACTTGGTGTCTTATGTATTTATGCAAAAAAGAAGCTCCAGTATTTCTTTTTCAGAACTAGCAAACACTACATTTTAAAAAAGAGAACAAAATTAATGAACAGAAGTAAAGATTATCAAACTAGTTTTTCAAGATTTTCAAGAAAGCAATGATGTAATTAGTTATCTTATCTTAGTGTGTCTCTTGTAGGCCCCTTAAGGGCCTTAGCCTGAAATTTATAAAAGCCTTTAAGGCCTTTGTATAAAGTACTCAGAGTTCGGACTGAAGTGCATACATTACTTATTTAACAGAAAATTTGGGAGTAAAACAAACAGATCAAGCAAAGCTTATGTAAGTAAACATAAACTTACCTGTTGTCCCTTTTTACTCTGTGTTGCAGTTCTCATATACTTAATAAAGGATTGTGTAGGCACAGGACATCTAGTGTTTGCTTTGTCTGACACACAAGCTACAGTAAAATCACATTCTTTCCCAGTTGAAATTTTACTGCATTGTTTATTGCAACTTACATGCTTCCTTAACTCAACACTTCAACCCTCCTTCACAATCCTCCCAGTGCTAGTGCTGCCAATACATGCCAGCTAAAAGAGAAAGAGGAAGAAGATGGAATAAAAAATAGTTTCTTTGTGATGTCATAGGACATGTGCCTTTGTTAGTGGTCTAGCATCTGCTCTTTAAAGTTTTAATAATCAGCAGTTAAATGCATGATTTTATAGTGTTGCTGGATTAAAGAATGAACAGAAAGGATTATTGGAAATTCTTTGGGATTCAAATAAATAGATCAGTAATGGCATTCCACGTTGACCTGATTTAATCTGGGATAGATTTATATACCCCTCTGGCTGCACACAGCAGGATACATTTTGCACAATTGCAGATAGCCTTTATGTCATCTACTGCAACATAACCTTATTGTCAGCTACTATACTTAGCTTACATAAAAGTAGAAGTTGGGAACTGCAATGGTTTTCAAAACTATTCTGATTTGAAAACCACTGCAGTTAACCACTTCTTGTTTGAAAAACCATTCTGGTTTTGATAAGTAGGCAACTTTTTTTAAAACAGTACATTAGAACTTTGAAACCTATCTAAAAAGTGAATTCCCTCTTTTGGTGGCTTTCATAGAGACAGTTGGGGGGACCAGAAAAGGGCATACAACTGAGTTTGAAGGGTTTGTGGTCAGAAGGATAGCTTTGGGTGCCACATGTGGTTCCTGGGGTTTTACTCAGCATTGGCTAAACGCAAAGTAACTGAAAACTTCCTACAACAATTCCTCTTCCCTGTATACCAATAATACACAGTTCTGTATGTTGTAAAGAGAATGTTAGAAATGAGATCTGAATGTATGAGAAATTCAACACCTTGAAAGTACTAAAGAAAAAAGAGAAAAGAACCAGCACTGAAGAAGAAGCAGGCGATTGTAAACAAGAAAGCAAACCACAGAGATTATTATATATCTTTGTTTAATCAATTTTGGATGATTCTTGTATTTTTAAACTGCACAGAAAAGTGCCTGATCCCAAATGATGATTTTCACAAGAACACCAAAGGCAGGAGAGGGTTAATCAACCCTCTAGGAAGGAGAAATGTTTACCTGTGATGCACTGATGCACATCTCTTTAGGAAATTTGGGGCGGGTGGGGGGGAGGTAGCAAAGCAGTTTGAGGCCAGTTTCCGTGTTCAATTGAATCACCCTCCAGCACAACCTTTTGAACCAGTTCCAAGCTGGATTATAGAGTCAGTGCTGAACCCACCCACCCACCCCCACTGTTGTTCTACGTTGCACAGAAGTTTCAGAAACTGCCCTTATTTTGAAAAAGAAATTAGCACACCAACTTTGTTTAAAGTTTATGGCGGCGGGCCAGGTAAATGATCTTGGAGAGCTGCATCCAACCCACGGGCCTTAGTTTGAGGACCCCTATTCTAGACAGTACATATTTTGAAGAATGGATTTCTTTCAATCGTCTTCTAAGGCCCACGAGCCGGCGGCCCTCCAAGGTCAGTTACTCATCTCCACGCTAAATTTTAGACGTAGGATCAAGTTAAGTCTGATACAACGTGTCAAATTACTGACATGATAAATTACATATTAGGAAAAAATGCCATCAAAGAGCAGATACTGCTTGGGCATTTTGTCTAATATGAAAATGGTTGTGTGGGCAGTAGTTTAAAAGGATGTAGATATACCTCCCTGAGTCCCCTTGGGGAGACAGGATGGAATACAAATAAAGTTTTATTATTATATGCCTATATTGATGCCTATATTGCTTTTACATATTTGTTTGTATTGCTTTTACATATTTGTTAGTAGCTCTATAAACCGTACTAATTTTAATCAAAAATCTGAGTAAAAGTTGTTCAGTTGTGTGCATGTGGGTATTTTTTTCTATTTCAAAGACTTTGTTCATATGTTTTGGTCTATGAATAAAGTCCACTAAACTTAATAGAGCTTACGTCTGAGTAAATATTCAGATGTTCAGCCTGAAAAACTCATTGAGCATTTGTTTGTCAAGTGATTTTCTTCAGTTATTTGTAACATGGAACTTTATTTTAAACTAGAAACTCAAACCACATAAACAAATAGAAATGCTATAAAAGAAAATGTGACATTTATTTATTTATTTAGAACTTTTCTATCCTGTTCTTCTCTACCTCCGTGGAGGGACTCAGAATGGCTAACAACAGCAAAAATTCAATGCTACACAATAAATAACATTTTTAAAACAACATATATAATAAATAAATTATAAATGCATATAAAAGACAGTTCACCAAGTTAAAACAACATCCAACTCAATCCAAACATTGTGGTCCAATAACTCTTAGTCTTTACCGGTTCAATCCATCAATCTGCGAATGCCTGATTCCAAAGCCAGGATTTCAGCTGCTTCCTAAAGGTCAGAAGGAAGGGGGCAGCCTTCTCTTCCATTTTCCTTTTTATTTTTGTTCTGCAGTTCTTGCCTTCTTAGTTTTAAATGAAAGAATTGAAAACCTATTTGTGAGATACTGGCAGGACAAAACCAGAACGGTCCCATCCCTCTGTTTACTGCAATGCAGTAACATTTGGAAGGCTGCATTGTTCTGTTTAGTCAGGAGAGTGGGGTTTGAATTTAGATTCAAAGCTTATGGATATGATATCTGACTTTAAAATGGCCTTTAACATTTCCCCAACCCTTAGAGCCACAAGTGCTGTTGGGATGCAGTTCCCATTATCCACAGTTTTCTTGGCAAATATTTAAGGGAATTCAGTAACATTTTGGGACCCAAAGTGGGTAAAAAGTAAAGAGCACTGACTACTATATTAAAACTTTATAGTTGGCCTTCTGTATCCACGGATTCTCCATCCATGAATTCAGCAGACCATTGAATCCATGAACAGAGAATCTGTGGACACAGAGGACCAACTATAATTTTAGAAGACAGCCATAAGTCTGGTGTGGCCCTCGATGAGAATGAGTTTGACACCCCTGATTTACAAGTTTGTGAGATCAAAAATAATCATCTGTAAACCTGTCCATTTATGTTACAAGTCTCAAGGAAGTAAAAGATACACTGCTTCTGAATATGGCAGTTCCATTTTAGTTCTAAACTTCATTTATATCCTTAATCTTGTGAACTTATAGGAAAAAGCAAGTGAGCCATTTTCAAGTTAATGTCTCTGTACAGATGTTGTACACTACTGTAGAAGCCTACTAAAAAAAGCATAGGAACCAAATAGTCTATAGTAGAAGATACAACACTAGCTTGCAAATTTGTAAACTGCATCACTTGGAGTGTCTAGTTTGCAGAATTATTCTCACAGAAAGAAGTGAAAAACAAAAAATATCAGAATTCATCTTTGATGCTCAGGGTTCATTTTGTACATGTGTAGGTGGTAAATTGCTACTCTGTACACACAGAGAATGAGAATGGGAGAAAGTGACTAGATTTCATTTTATGCACCATACTTTGTATAATTTAATAAATATTATAACTATTTTCCATTTTGTTATTTTTAGTATCTTTATTTGGAAGGAAATCACACTGATGCACTAATTTTACATGAGTAAACTTGCATTTCTACATGTTCAAATTACATTCTGACTTTCTTTTTTCCTCTTCTAGTTGAGTATGTCGTGGAGTATGATTATGATGCAGTACATGATGATGAGTTAACCATTCGTGTTGGTGAAATCATAAGGAATGTCAAAAAACTAGAAGAGGAAGGATGGCTAGAAGGAGAACTAAATGGGAAAAGGGGCTTATTCCCTGACAACTTCGTTAAGGCAAGTACTTCATGTTCATCTCTGATTTATATTGGAATTGGAATTGCTGTTTAACTTTGGACATTAAATTATACCCGTGTTACCAAAATGATTTAAATTGTGACGTGAAAATATGAAAGGGTTCATTGGAAGATATTCTATAATGTAAAAAACAAGTTATTGTTCCAGTTACCTTGCAAAAGGTTTCTTTCCACTTTTGAATGATGTGATGTCAGCTGAAAATTCTTGTTTGGTTTATGGGTGGGACTCTGTGTCCAATGCATAAATTTATTTTTTGTTTGTTAGTTCAGTTATGACTTTTCTATGTTTAGAAATTACTTGGCCTCATCTGTGGGTATGAAATTGTACAAAGTAGGTTAGAGGTAGAAAGTATAACCAAGCTTTTGTACCTTTGACCTTTAATACAAGCAAGATTATCCTGTGTGAAGAGAGAAATTCCCCCAATTTTTTCATTTTCATTTTCCTCTCTTCTCAGGAATAAAATGAAGAACAAATTTAACTAACATAAACTTAACAGTATTTCAGTGGAACACCCCCCACCCCCCCGGGCCATCCAGTTCAACTCCCTTCTGCCATGCAGGAGAAACACAATCAGAGCATCCCAACAGATAACCATCCAGCCTTTTAAATAATAATAATAATAATAATAGCAGAAATGATCAGGCTGGGCTCAAGTATGGGAGGAGAAAGAGGGAAGAGGAGGAAAACCTGGAGCCCCTCGATTTGCTTCGTGGAGCCCCAAGGACTCCACAGAGAACAGTTTAAGAACCACTGGTGTAAAGTATATTCATAAGGTCTTTATTTTAAAATTAAAGATGTATTTTTAAAAATTTCACAAACATGCCACATTGTACAGTTACAAACAAATCATCTTCTGTTGCTAAAGCAGCAAAATAGATGTGAGCTTATTTTGAAAATAGGCATTGCAGAGATTTTCATTTTTCCAAAAAAGTGCTGCCTCACTACCACTATTTTTTCATGTTTTTGAAATTTTCTAGAAACACAAGACAGTGACAAACCCTTCCCAAAGAAAAGGTGGCCTCTGCAGTCCACTTGAGGAGGAGTATGGCAATGATGCAGCAGTTGTTAATTATTATTATTATTCCTTTTTCTCCTTCTACTCTGCTTTATGTCTCTTAAAAAGAGACCCAAAGGTGTTAATAATAAAAGTAATATAATAGATAATTTAAAACCTAAAAAAAACAAACATTCTATTTTAATCATAGGACAGTTAAAATTTATTCTATTTAAACATAAGACAATTAAAAATAAATAGTTAAAACTATTTAAAAGCCTATTAAAATACATAAAACACTATGCAGCTCCCCCTGGCTGGGTTTTAAAAGCATTCTTTAAAAGTCTGTCTGAAAAGAAAAATTTTAGCTTGCTACCCGAAGGATAGCAGAGATGGGGCCATTTTGGCTTCCTTGCAAGTAGTTCCAGAGTTGAGGGTCAGCCACACAGAAGGCACTCTCTGGAGTCCCCACCAACTGAGATTCAGGGGGTGATGGTAGAACTAAGAGATGGGCCTCTTCTGAGGATCTCAGGGCCCAGGCAGGTTTGTACAGGGAAATGCAGTCATTCACATAGTCTGGACCTGAGCTGTATAGGGCTTTAAAGGCTGCCAGAACAAACTGGCAGCCAATGCAGCTGTTGCAAAGGATGGGGGTGAGGGGTTGCCTGCTCTCTATAGCCAGCCGCAGCCATCAATTTGGCCGCAGCTCTTTGGACCTGCTTGAGTTTCTAAACGCTCTTTGAAGGCAGCCCCACATAGAGCATATGCTCACAGTGAACATGAGGTCAGTGAAAATACGTGTCCCAGTTATTGTAGCAAAATAGGCTTCAGTTCATAATAATAGTCTGAGAAGCCAGCCTTGTACCTCAGAAGAGCTCAGGAAAAGATACACTGATACTGAAGAGTTGCTGATTCCTGCTTTTTGGGGCAAGAGCTACAATTCTAGGCTGAATAGAGTCAGTTGATTTTCTCAAGTCAAACATGATGCACCTGGTCTTATCAGGTCCTGTGTTTAAAATAATCTTTATTAGTTTTAGTTAAAAACATACAGTATCTGGTCGGATAGGTATAAGAAGGGGGGGACAAGAGGTGGGGATAGAGGGGGAATGATAGTATAGGGGGGGTAGAGTGGGGAAGATGCTTTTGGTAGTTGTTTGGAATAAGGGGTGTGCCAGGTGTAGAAAAGAAAATTAGGGAGGTCACTGTGAGGGAAAAGGTCTTATCAGGTCCTGATGCAAATCCAATGCACAAGCCTGATAAACTTTGACTCTGGATTCTGTCCTAATCAGTACTTTGGGTCATGATACCGCCAGCCTTTTACTTTGCAGTTGCTTCTAAAGTACATTGCTGCTGTAATGGAACACAACTATTTGACTTGTTTGATTCTGTCCCTCATCTGGCTGTTCAGGTGCCACGTCTGTTGCCCCATTGGTCTCCAAATGCCCACACCTGAACTGGATCTGAGCTGCAACTCATTCTGGAATCAGATCAGATTCTGACAGCCTTTAGTGAATGTTTCTTGGGTCAGCCCATAGGCTGTCCTCACTCTGCTGTACCACCCACCCCCATATAGTAGGCAGTGCTTTTGAGGTTAAAGCTATAATCCAAAAAATGACACATTGCCCCACTAAGAGTAATTTGTAACATGTGACAGAACATGTACATGTGGCTGAGTAGAAAAAATCTGAAGTGGATGCGGGTTTTGCATTCAAAATGCTCACTAGATGGCAGGCACAATCTTAAAAATAGGTCACGAATATCAAGAGAGCCAGTAGTACGTGCTCTCTGAAAAATATTTTCTGACTATGAAGCAGTTTATCAAGTAAATAAAATGACTTAATATTTCACTATATTGTGGGGAAATAGTACTTCTGATATTAATATTTATCTGATTAATGCTCTTAGTGGAGAAGAACTGCTAGTTTAAATAAAACACTCAGTATACTTGTGCAAGAGGAGGGATAGCCTTGTGACTCAAATAACAACCATTAATTTTTTAAAATGTTGTTGAAGTTTTAGTGCAAGGAATCAGTGCAGAGATAGACAGACAGACAGACAGACAGACAGACAGACAGACAGACAGACAGACAGACAGACAGATAGATAGATAGATAGATAGATAGATGTCATTACTGATATTTCTTCAAGATGTGTATATAATACTAGATGAGTGGTATCATGTAGTAGAACAAAAATATTTTTCTTTCTTTGTTTGACCAGGTGGCCAATTGTTGCGGTGCTTTGATTGTGGTTTTTCCTGCATGGCAAAAAAGGGGCTGTACTAGATGACCTCTGGGGTTTCTGCTGTTGCTTTTGTTGCGTTGTTGTTATTATTACAAAGGCCACATAGCCAACTGTTGGGGTGCTTTGATTGTGCTTTTCCTATATGGCAGAAGGAGGTTGGTTGGACTGAATGGTTCCGGGGGTCTTCCAATGAAAAACTGTTAAGTTTATAATGGTTAAAATTGTTCTTCATTTTATATATTGTATTTATTTTGTTTTTTTGCACTGTGTGATTTAGTTCACATAAACATCCATCTGCCACTGGCCCAGCCCATGCCTGTGAGATGTGTGTGTGCATGTGTGCAAACACATACACACATACATATACAGACATGCATACACACATTATATATAATATACAAACATTATATATAATATATAAACATTTATTGGGGCTCCACAAGAAACTTTTTGCTCCAAGGTTGAAAAAGTTTGAGAACTCCTGGGCTAGAAAAAGACATTTCATTCAGTCCTTATAAAATGAGCAAAGGGAAAAGAAAGAGATTTTATAAAAAAAAAATAAGCAACCTATTATGATCAAGAAACTGGCTGCTTTTACCAGAAGACCATAACTTTTTTGTATCTTGCAGAACAGTTATGTGTGTTTTACCTGCAAAGCAACTTGAAAGAAAAAGAAAAAGAACATATTTGGTGCTCCTCATAAGGGATTTTTTTTACAAATAATATATATTGAATGATTTTGGATTTTACTGAAATGTGGATAAAAGTTAATTGTTTAATTCCATTGCATTTTTTAAAAATCTATATACAAAGTCTTTTTGGAAGTTATGAATTTTGCTGATGATCATCATAATTGATCATTACTATCATCATCTCTTTCTGCCTAGTGGAGTTTTTATTACCAAGTACAGATGAGTGGTAAAGTGTTGGAGAAAAGGATGGTGCTCTGCCTGTACAGGTGTGTGTATTTGCTCTTACAACTGCAAAACAAAACCAGGAAGCTTTTTGAGTTATGACTTGAACTTTGCTCATTGCAGTAACTTGGTTTAAAACTTCCTTCGACGCATGTAAATATGCATACATACCTGGGTGTGTTAAAGCAAACATGTCTTTAGAACTAGTAAGTTCTTTACGTTCCTTGTTAAAGTGGGGGGAAATTTTGTGTGTGTGATTGTTGTTAGAGTCTGGTGAAATAATTGTGGTTCAGTGTATTTTGATTTGTATAATTATTTAGCAATTTGTGCTATTGTGCCTGAAGCAGTGCTTGTAAAATACTGTATATGGCATTTCCTAGATTCAGATGTGGGGTTCATTTTCTTTATATGTTTCAATTCAGATGCTGCTTTTCAAACATTTATATAGTCTTTATGAATGCACCAGGGTGAATTCATTTAAATGTAAGCATCGGGGAGTAGTGCTTGTGGTGCAGTTTTTTGTCTCTGTTCAAAACGTTTGCAGTGTATATATCATATTTACTTGTTGCTATACAGAGAAAGCAAAATAGATTTTAGTTGTCAATGTTGCACATTTTTCTAGTGTGAGATGATCATATTTATTTGGCAGTCCTTCCAGATGTTGATACATTTACTGTCACTGCTAATGTTCTTACACGTGATTTGTCATGCTTTTCCTAAAATGTAAGAAATTCAATGTTATCAAATAAAATCTCTCATGTAGTCATGGTTTAAATGATTACAGGCGTAGATGTTTAAACAAATGTTATGAAGCATTAAAGGGCCAATTTCTTGGTTGTTTTTTTATAGTGATTAAGTACTTAGTTGGGTTTTTTAAAAAAAATAGTGTTATGCCCAGCTAATATCATTGTGAATCCTGACTTCTAAACCATCATTTCCTAGTCTGGAGTTTTAAGTCCTTCCTGCAATCCAAGATTGCAGGTCATGGTTAGCTCTTCTACAACAACTTCTGTCCTTCCTCTTATTTCTATATTAGAGTGATTGTGGATTCTACCTTTTTTCTTTTCTTCCATACAATTGAATGGCTCTACACAATCCTATAACTCTGTTGTTTCTTCTAATTTTGTTTTTCCTCTCTGCTTCTAGATGTGAGTTTACGTGGCTCACTTGCTGTGACTTTCCCTCTCAGTTAAAAAGTCCTGATTTCAGTTCTCAAACAATTGTTAGCATTTAAAAAATATTTTTCTGTTTACAAAAGGTCTGTGAAGTACAACTCCCTAGGAAAAATGTTCCAGAGCCTATATTTCAGCATTATCCATAGCTTATATCTATTTTAATATTGATCTTCTATATTGGTGTAGCTATGTTGAATTTTAATTTATAAGGCAGCAGTTGGAGATGCTGTTAAGTGAGCTTGGAGTCTCTGGCTCTGCACACAAAATGTGTGATTTACCTTTTATCTTTGTATACCACATTTCTTTGAGTGGGAGTGGTGGATGTTCCTACTGTCGAGTGTACTCTATGAATATACTCAGTTTTAAAATTGGAATACTTCCTTCCCTGCCATTAAGAGTAGCTCTATATAATCCAGTATTGTTAAAAAAAAAGCCCACAGCCCAATGTTTAGCTCTAGAACCATGGTTCCAACCTGCGGGTCCCCAGGTGTTTTGATCTCCAACTCCTAGAAATCCTAACAGCTGGTAAACTGGCTGGGATTTCTGGGAGATGTAGGCCAAAACATCTGGGGACCCACAGGTTGAGAACTTCTGCTCTAGAAGCTTGTGAATGTTTTTTTTAACCTATTCAAAGTGCCATATTTTCCTTATTACCTGAAATAATATTTAATATCCCGTATTTTTTTCATAAACCTTAATATAAACACATGGAAAATAAATAAATGCTATTATTCTAAACGTTAAATAAATCATTCAAAATATTATTTTGCTATCCCAATAGTATTGTACGCTAATTCAAATGTTAAATAAATCTCTCAAAATTATTGGAATATTGCATATATTCCAAACTAGGAATTAATATATTGTTAATAAGAACAAGTGTTGTGCTGGGCATTGAGAGATGCCTTACAAGCCCAAAGGACTTACCTGCTGAACTATGGGAACCCACTGGATCACTATTCATGAGTCACATTCAGACTTAGAGAAGAAGCAACAGCAACCCTCTCTCCCCAAAGACACCCCAATACAAAGCTTTATAGTTTGCTTTAAAGTCATAAGTTGTAAATGATACCTTCCAGAGCAGAGATCTTTATAAACTTTTTTTTGTTTAATTCAGCTGCTTTGCTAATGCTAGTTAATGGCAAATAAGCATGTCTCAAGTCCCTGACTTTGTTTTTATTAAGTAGGTTCAAGTTGTCAGGTAGCTAGCGGGAATCTGGATGGTCTATTTATTGAATTATATTCATTTTGATTCGTCAAATCCAGAGTAGATCTATAGAATGTATGAAAATGATAGTCAACAAATCCCATTTATTTCCATCAATTTAGTTAAGTTGGACTAACATAAGATGTAGCCCTTTCTAAAATTGCTGTTTTAGAATAGTTTTTCAAGGATTTGTCTGTAGCTCTGTATGAAAGTATTTTTCTCTGGTGCATGTCTTTGGTATATATAAATCGTTTAATCTCCCTTATTTTGTTTTCACCAGGAAGTTCAGAAAGAGACGGAAAATAAAGATGACGATTTGCCAGTCAAGAGGGAAAGGCATGGAAATGTAGCCAACCTTGTCCAACGCATGAGCACTTATGGCCTTCCAGCAGGAGCATTTCAACCTCATTCCCAGGGCAAAGGCCTCAGGAGGAGTAAGTTGTTTAATGACTAGACTAAAATATTCCCTTGTTATCTCTTCTAGTGTTTTTGGGGGGGTTTTTTGGCATGGGAGTAGACTTTATGGTGTGTGCGTAGAACATGTAGTACTATACATTTTAATTCATTTGTTTAGCCATAAATGAGAAATAAGTATGAAAACAATCATTAATTTAAAAAAAATCCCAAGGAACTTTTATCCGAACTTTTAGCAAAGTAAAACTAAAATTCTTGTAACACAGCCTGTACTTGCATAGCCATCTGTTTTGTGATGTTTTTGAGTAGTAATGAAAATCAACAGGGATTAGTAAAAGAGATTTGTGCACAATAGATGCAATTCTAAATGTGTTTTATGTAGTTTTAAGTAATGGCTTCAGAAAGAACAAACTGTAGATGGGAAAAAAACACATTATCTTGTCAGATCTTGAAATTTCCATAGTAGAAGTGTGGTCAGTAATTTTGATGTTATGGCAGGGTAGTTGAAATGAAATTGTTTTGAGCACATTAAACTGGCAGATAGACTTTTAAATCTGTTTTCAATATTAGTGGCACCAGATTGTGTCAGATCAGGAATGATAAAATATGACAGAAAGATAACCTGTACTTGTACATGTTTACCCCTTTTTATGCTAGTTACATTCACTGTAGGCTAGCATCAGTACTGTGGCAGTTGGTAAAGGACACATCAGTAGCAGAACCTGCATGAGCAATAACACTATGTAACAACATTTGAAAAATGTTCTGTTCCTGGTGTGAAAGTGATTTTTCCTGTTTAATTGTTTCATTTTTGTGACTGCCACAAACTATGTTGAATTGATTGAAATTATGAGATATTCATTGCAAAACCACAGTAAAATAGTAGTTACATGAAGTTTTTGCAGTTTAATAAACTTTTCCCATGTTTTTATGATAGAACCAATTGAGAAATGACATTTATAACCCAGGAACAAAAAACATGTTAAATAGTGTAATAGAAATCAATCCAAATGGTCTAGGTGTCACAACTAATTTTAGAAAATATCTCTGGAAATAAAGTCAGCTTGAGGTTGTTGATGTAGTCCAATTTCTTCCATGAAAACTATTCTGCTTTCTTTCATATGAGTTTCCGCTCTGCGCCTGTTGTGCCAATATGTGGATTTTTGTGTGAACTTTTCACATGTATACAGTTTTGTATAATACTCCTATTGACAAAACTTTGTGGCTTTTCCATATGCTTGGGAATTTCTGCTGATTCATTTGTAAATTATTGAGTGACTTAATTTTATCCTTACTGAGTGTTTTTGATTTTAATGTGCTAGAGACTAAATGCTTGTAGAACTCACATGAAGGGGGGAAGTAGAGCTATGTTGTTTTGTTGCAGCCAAGTCTGCAGAGAGCCTTGTGCCATCTCAAAGACTTAAGCATGATTCAGTTATTAATCAGTGTGGTTGCCAAAGGAAAATGGAAACATTCATTGCCAGCTTTTGATATGGCTTGTTTCTACACAAATTCCTATTTATCAGCTAGGAAGCAGGTATTTTCTGTCTCCTCTTTGCAGACATTCTAGAAAAATGAAATAGAAGGGGGGATGTGTCAGGCCCTTGCCTATGATTTGATCATATACTGTTATACTACAAAGGACTGTAGGCAACAAATGATATGCTATACTATAAAAAATTAAGATTGATGGGATGAAAGGTGTTTTGTGTCCTCTTTAAGACTAAACTATTTACTGTAACACAACATTTTATGGATCACAATCCAGACCTGTCCATTAGTTTATAGAAACCAGGATGTGTATGCTCTACAAGCCCTTGGTGTGTTAATGATGATTTTTCCTGTGTCCCATTTCATGCCTCCCTGCACACCTCTTGAGTACCATAAACCATAGGTTGTAATCCACAAATGCTCATGCTAAAATAAGTCTTCTTAACCTTAAAGAGACCACAAGTCCCTTCTGTGAGCCACAAGATTCAATTCTCATGCTATAGAGGGAAAATCAATAAATAAATATCTCCTTTAAATATATGTATAAAACACCCCCTGATAAATTTTACTTTTGGCCCTCACTTTTTCTACTCTCAACAGGATCAAAGAAACGGCAGTGTAAAGTTATTTTTGAGTATATTCCTCAGAATGAAGATGAGTTGGAGCTGAAGCTGGGAGACATTATAGACATTCATGAAGAGGTAAATAATTTTACAGTATTTAGGTTCCCACAGAAATAAACCACTGATTTGTAAATCTTGAATACAAATATTCTGATATTTCAAAATATTGAATTTCATTATATTAGGTCTTATTAATTAGAAGTTTGCATGTGTATGTGCCTGCAAGTCACCTGTTAATTTATGGGTATCCCCTTAATGCCATGGGGTTTTTCAATGCATAAATTTTCAGAGATGCTTTTGTCAATTCCTTCCTCTGAACTATAACTTAAAAACATTTGGTATATGTTGGCAGTTGTATGAATCCTTCAAATAAGATCAATTTGTACTGGAATAAAACCTGGGCCTTTTAGTGACTTTTCTTATCTGGAGGGCACATAGGAGAAAGCAAACTCCCTCTTGTGGTTACAAAAATATTTCAATATAAATATTAAAAATGAAGTATCGGAACATTTGAAATTAAGATGTCTAAAGGTGAAAAAACACAGGATGGAAGGAGAAAAGTGAATATTGTAAATATATGCAGTGAAACTGTAAGGAAACTTATTAGAAAAAGAGAAATGGACATAAAACTAGTCTACTTAATCAACTGAGTAAAACTGACTGAGACAAGGGTAGAGCTTTCTCACTGTATGTATGAGAATTTCCAATACTATCAGGAAAGACATTGGCACACATTAATCATTGTATCATCAGATATTCTGAATATGTGGCCTAGTGCAGGAGGTTATTATGTCTGATTCATTTCAGTGTTGAAAAAAATAGCAGGTTGGTAAATTCCACTTTTACAAGCTGTGGATCCTTGTGGATCATACCATAACATTGAAATGGGATTGTCATGAAAATGTTTCTCTGTCTACTTTGTCATTTCTGGAAGCTTATGTTATAGTACTGGATTTATGGGCAACTGATTTGGTGATTTACTAATCCTGTATCCCCGTCACAGGTGGAAGAAGGCTGGTGGAGTGGAACACTAAATGGCAAATCAGGCTTATTTCCTTCTAACTTTGTAAAAGAGTTGGAGGTAAAAGATGATGGAGAAACACATGAAGTCCTGGATGATTCAGGTAGTTTTGCTGTATTTCTGAACAGATATTGTGCAGTTAAATACAAACTGAGCATCTCTTCACAATACTCCAAAATCCAAAAATAACTACCTGGGATGCAGAGACATTGGTATTCTTTGCTTTCTGTAGTTCAGTGTATGCAAACTTTGTTTCATGTACAAAACAGTCAAAATATTGTGTATACAGTGAACATCAAGAAATCTGTATAAGATGTATATGAAACATTTCCAAAGTACCTTAAATTTGTACATATACACAAATATAGTAAAGGTAAAGGTTTTCCCCTGACATTAAGTCCAGTCATGTCCAACTCTGGGGGGTTGGTGCTCATCTCCATTTCTAAGCTGAAGAGCTTAGAAACCTCCGAGGTCATGTGGCCAGCATGACTGCATGGAGCACAAATATACACAAATATAGATATTGCAAAATATGGAACACTTCCAATCTCAAGCATTTTGAATAAAGAATACTTGGCATGGATGGCCAACAATCAAATAGTATGGAAGTACTTAATCTAAAGGAGATGTCTAGACTTAATTTGCAAATATTTAAGGGATAAAAACTCAGTTTCATATATTTTCGAAGGCTTTCTTGGCCAGACTCACTGGTTTCTGGGCTATTTGGCTGTGCTCTAGCAGCATTTTCTCCTGACATTTTGCCTGCATCTTCAGATCCTCTGAAGATGCCAGCCACAGATGCAGGCAAAACATCAGGGGGAATGCTGCTAGAACATGGTCATATAGCCCAGAAGCCACACAACACTCCAGAAACTCTGTGAGTTTCTGGCTTACTTATTTAATGTAATGATCCATCTTTCTGCCAAAAACGGCTCTTGTTAACACTTGAATGTCTAATACAATACCCTAAAACTAAATCTTGTTTAAACAATATAGAAACAAATTAATTAAAAACACAGCTATAGCAGACATGACAAGTACTCCAACACATTGGCTTCTTCAGCAGTAGCCCAACGAACATGCCAAATGCCTCAGGGAGTAAAAATGTGTCTTTTTCCTGGCAGAAGTACATTAAAGAAGCAGCTGAGAGTCTGGCAGTAGCCAGCTAGAAGGCCTTCCCTCTCTTCTCCTGCAGAATGCATCTTGGCAGGACCAACAAAAGTACTTTCTCTAAAGATCTTAAGACCAGGAAGGTTAGGATGGGTGACTACAGTCATTCAAACAGCCTGGTCTTAAGACTTATACAGCAGTTAATCATAAAGCAATAAACTAAATCACACTTTAAATTATGGCTAGAAGGAACCATAATTTGTTGCTATATGAAATTACTTTCTTCCTGTAGCTAGACCAAGCATTGCGGAAAGCCATACAGCTTTAAACACTTTTAAAGATAGCAAATATAACAATTATCTAAATAGCCTATAACTAAGGTATGTTCCACTGTGGTAAGATTGAACTGATTACAGCTGGTGCAGTGGCCTCACCTATGCAAGTGAGTGCATAGATGAGGCCATTTTCATCACTGAAATCTGGATCTCTGATTCCAAGTTATTTCGGCTGGAGTTCTTTTGGCTCATATTGAGTCTCTATTTTCTGATCTGCATTTCAACCAACTATTTTTAACTTGTATGGATTATGTGATTATCGAACTTCATCTAATCCAATGCCAACCCCATCCACTGATCTAAAATAAAAGCAGCTTATTTGGATTTAGATCAAAAAGAAATATAACTAGTATGTTGCCAGAAAACTCCTCAAACTAAGTCCTAAAACTCCAGGCAGACTTTACTAGAAATTTCAAGTGCATATTAAAATAGCATGAAGAACAAGACAGAGTCCTGCAGGACGGCACACGGCCAGGTGTGAATGAGCAGTTCTTCAATATGCCACACCTTTAATCTCCCATCTAAGGAGGAACAGAGCCAAAACAAACCAGTGCCTCCAAAGAACCAGAATAGTATGGTTGAAATTATTTGAAGCCATCATGAAATCCAGCACAACCAACCAAATACATTCTCTTTGCCCAGTTAGTGCCTGCGGTATAGAACATGAGATAAGGTAGCCAACACAGATTGAACCCACAATCAAACCTGAAGGCAAAGTGAAGTGAACCTATGATTCCTTAATAATTTGTTTGATAGTCCTAGGCAGCACTATTTATTGTGTCAGGGGCAGACCAAACAGTTGCATTGCATTTTTTAACAAACAAACAGAACACAAAGTTTGCAAGCTTGGTAGTTGATTAAATGTCCTTTGACCAGTATCTGGCCACTTGGAGTGCCTCTGGTGTTGCCGCAAGAAGGTCCTCCATTGTGCATGTGGCAGGACTCAGGTTGCATTGAAGCAGGTGGTCTGTGGTTTGCTCTTATCCACACTCGCATGTCGTGGATTCCACTTTGTAGCCCAATTTCTTAAGGTTGGCTCTGCATCTCGTGTTGCCAGAGCGCAGTCTGTTCAGCACCTTCTAAGTCGCCCAGTTTTCTGTGTGCCCAGGGGAGTCTCTCATTTGGTATCAGCAGCACTGATTCTGTTCTAATGCCAAAAGCCTGAAGAGATGTTAGTGATCACTGCTTTCGGAGTAATAAAATCAGGAGCAGAGAACCTTGAGCCTTTTAGCCCAGTGCAGATCTTCAAGTCCCATAATTCAAACTTCTGCACTTTTCTCAGACTATGCCTTTCACCAGTCCAACTTTGGGTTATTGATATTATTTAAGGCATCCCATCCTGTACCAACCTACAAAGTTGACAAAGGTAACTTTGTACATGTTAGGAAAAAAGAATGCTTGCTAGGATAAAAGTAGGCAGGACTGTGTACTTGTATGTTTGCAATGAATCCTAGGACAAAGTCATGGTTTACCACACCCAGGCTTTTACCTTCGGCTGAGACATACCAGTAATAATAATAATCTTGGAAATAAAAGCTACAGTAGCTCTTTTTTAAATTATGCAAGCAGTAATATGTTGTCAAAGGCTTTCATGGCTGGAATCACTATGTTCCTGTGAGTTTTCCGGGCTGTATGGCCATGTTCCAGAAGCATTCCCTCCTGACGTTTCACCCACATCTATGGCAGGCATCCTCAGAGGAGTGCCTTGATTTTGAAGATCTCTTGGAGCTAGTCAGTACAAAATAGCTGGCTCAAAGTATTCCATCAAGAGTAGCAAACCTTCTCCCCCTCCCACCCACCATTATCTTTTCCCAGCATTTCTTCTCTTCCTTTTTTTCTATGAAAGAATGATACCCCTTGCTACCACCTTCTCCTATCTTTCCCCCCTCATGGGGTGCCTTTACACTTTAGAATCAATGCAGTTTGGCATCACTTTAACTACCATGGCTCAGTGCTATGGAATCATGAGAGCTGTAGTTTTATACTTCTAGCCTTTTTAAACTAATGGAGGCTGGTAGCTCATCAAACTACAACTCCCATGATTCCATAACATTGAGCCATGGCACTTCAGATGGTGTCAGTCTGCATTAATTCTACAGTGCCAATGCACCCTTTATCTAATGACGCAGGAGAGTGTACTATTCTAGCAACAGAAATAGGTAGCATGGGATCCAACATATGTAATTATGCTGGTAGGACCTTCTGCCCAATCAGGAATAAACAGAAACTCGGCAGCACTTGGCAAGTCCAATCCACATATTAATCTGCCCTTCCCCTTAACAACGTGTTCTAAGACTACTTTCTTCCATATTTCCAGAGTCTGTTTTTGCAGGCCCTCCTTCTCCTCTGACTTCACCAGGAAATGGCAGTGAGCCTGGACCTGTACCAACAGCACAACCAAAGAAAATCAGAGGAGTAGGGTTTGGCGATATTTTCAAAGATGGCTCAGTAAAACTTAAAACAAGACTGTCCAGTAATGATTCAGAAGAGAAGAAGCAGGATAAAGTAATTTATATTTTCTTCTTGTCTAAAATGTCATGTTTTTCAAAACATAACATTGGTTGTTAATAAGCAGCCAATATTTCATCCTATGTCTTCTGGTTTTATAATCAACATAAAATAATGATTGTTGTTATTTATACCCCGCCTTTCTTCTGAAATTGTTTCTGAGCAGCAGCATTCTAACACTTTTAAAGAATGTTGTCTCACTGATAACATCACCAGTAGTGAACCATCATGCAGTATTCTATTTATTGCCTGCATAGAAAAAAATAGCATTTTATTCAGCCCAAAAATGTGGTTGATCTTCTGAATAGTACAACCAAGTCATTTGTTGCATACTTAATTATTATGTAAGGTAAATACGTGTAAGAGTCACAAGTGTATTTGCCTATTGACAAATTTGTGTTTATCTTTATATTTCTTGTGTAGCCATTACCTACGCATTCATCTGGACCAAAAGTAACACAGTTTTCTGGTGTTATGAAATCTGAAGTGACAACAGAGTTAACAAAAGGAGAATCTGAAAACAAACAGAAAGGTATGACTATTTTATTTTGTCCCTGCATGTTATTCTGAAGTTTTCAATATTAAACAATTTTAAAAGTTCATCTTTCTTGGTTTGATTTGTATTTTTAAGAGATCCTGGTTTTTTCTCACATAGTTTCACAAGATCTAGGGCCCCTTCTACACTGCCATATAACATTAAAATTATCTGCTTTGAACTGGATTATATGGCAATGTAGACTCATATAATCCAGTTCAAAGCAGATAATGTGGGTTATATACTTTGATCATCTGGATTAAATGGCTGTGTAGAAGGGGTCTAGAAGAGTGGTTAATTGTTTCCCTCTCTGGTGAAGAATCGTATTCCCTCCCCGGTGTCCTGTGAGTCATTTGCCTTCTGATGGTTCAGTGTAGGGCCCCAGCTGCACTGCTATTTAAAATCTAGATTATCCAATTTGAATTTGGTTATATGGCAGTGTAGACTCATATATTCCAGTTCAAAGCAGATAATCTGGATTATATGGCAGGGTAGAAGGGGCCTAATAGTGTTTCATGCACAAAACTATTAAAATATTGTGTATAAAGTGTATATGAAACATAATTGAATGCCTTTTTAGACTTAGGGCTCATCTCTAAGGGCCTTTCCACACAGCCATATAACCCAGAATATCAAGGCAGAAAATTCCACAATATCTGTGTTGAACTGGGTCCACACTGCCATATTCCAGTTCAAAGGAGATATTGTGGGATTTCCTGCCTTAATATTCTGGGTTATATGGCTGTGTGGAAGAGTCCTAAGCTATCTCATTTATGTATATGCATATATAGGATACCCAACCTGTAATGTTAAAACAAACTATTTCACCTTATGCCGAGTACTCAGGCTTCTGTGTTTGATTTTTCCAGGCAGTATATACATATTCTTGCACTTAGGTCCTGAATTTGTATGTTTCGTTTCCTTTTAGACAATGCACGATTGGTCACTGTGTTACTAATACATTTTCCCCTTTGGAATTAGACGGTTCGTGCATATGCCATATCATAACAGCTCCTTCAAATTAACAATTAGTCAGCTTGCTTATCTACTATGAACCACAATTGTCTAGCTGTTGTTACTGCTGCCACCCCACTCCTGACTCCTGTGTCTTATGGGAACTGCTCATACATCCTGGCTTTCCTCCTAGCACTGCTCTCTTGCTTAGCCTATTAAAACTGCTCTGTCTGGTGGGCATATATTTTATGCTCTATACATTCCTTATCACTTTGGTTCTAACATGAGCAGCAAATCAGGTCTTCGGTTTTAAAAAATGTTACAGTAATGTGTTTTAAATAATTTTAGATTATAGTAACAATCATATTTTATTAACAAGCTTTTCCCTAAATGTCTTATTGGAGATCGCTGAACAGTGGCATTCATAAAACATTTGAAATGTGCAGGGCATGCATAACACACATAACTTTGTCCTTTCAGCTAAGGAGTATTGCAAAGCCTTGCATGCCTATGAAGGTACCAATGAGGATGAACTTAGTTTTAAGGAAGGTGATGTTATTCAGATAATAAGTAAGGTAAGAGTCCATATTCTAATGGAACACTTCCTTCCCTTATAACGAATCAAATCAAATCAAAGTAATGCATCCATACGTAAAATATTTGATTGGTGTCCAGTCAAGATAGGTACAGAATGTTTAAGATAATAAGAAATCACTATTTTTAATTCTAAATTGCTCCATATATGTCTATGGTTAACATCATGTAGAAAGTTTGATAAAAAGCATATTTGTATTGAGATTTTCTTCCATTTCTTCCTTGGACGCTGGTCTGAATAATTGATACAGAAAAATAGTAATGCTTCTTCTCTAGCGCCATCTTGTGAGCAAGTGCATGTGCGTACATGTACACAAACACAGTTGTACAAATTATACAAGACAGGGAAGTCCAGCAGGACCTGAAGTAGCTAAGATTATGAAATAAGTTTATTTTGTACAGAGGAGCATTTGAATATTATGGATTACAGATACCATATAAAGGATTTTGTACATTTTCTCATCCTTGATGAGAAATGATTTTTTAACAGAATAACCTTGAAGAGATTTTTACCTCTGTAGAATAAAAAGACCACGTGCCTTCTCATCACAAAATTAATGAAAAATATGCAAGAGCCCTATTTTTAAAAAAATCTTTCTTAGCAGTGAAAAGTCTTTGGAATGTTTTATTTTACATACAAGAACAAAATAACACAAGGGTTACATACCCGTTATGAACTCAAGTTAATCTGTTAATGCCCTGACATGGTTGAGTACGAACTAGGGTCAGTGTGATATCATGATTGGTAATATACCAAAGAATACTAATGGCTATTTTGTGAACTCACTTCTATCTTAAATGGTTATGATTAGGAAACCATGCTGGACTACGTGTGTACTCAGTTCTGGTTTCCCAATATTGATGGAGCATTCTGAGATATGTACTGTTGTCTAATTATTATTATTATTATTATTATTATTATTATTATTATTATTATTAAACCACCTAAAAGAAGTCACCTGTCATGTTTCTAATGCAACTGTATCTATAACTAGCAGACCGGGGGTGGGGCAGGGGAGAGTCTCATAATCATAGGGACTTTTTCCCCTCCTTCCATGTGCCCCCAAAGGCAGTTATGAGGGGCTATGAAATCTTTCAGGGGTTGGCTTTTACATAATAGTGTTGTGGGGAAAGTGGTGGAAAGGGGGAAGAAAATGTATTTATTTATTTATGTTTATTTGGATTTTGACCTATAGTGTTGTGTTGGTTTATTTTGGGAGACGGAGAGAAATTTGCTGTCTGAAATAGGTGTGTATGCTGCAACTGGTTTTTTATTTTTCCTTTTAAAAAGCTCTGTTTGTTCTAGAACACTGGAGATTCAGGATGGTGGAAAGGCGAACTCAATGGCAAAGAAGGAGTTTTCCCAGACAATTTTGCCTTTCAGATTACTGAACTGGATAAAGATTTCCCTGTAAGTTCTCACTAACTGTTTTTGAAGCCACTATGGAAACGTTTTATAGCTGGCTATAGCACAAAATGCTAAGTGATTTTTGTAATCTGATAAAGAATTGGTGTGGGATCTTGAGTCTTGCATCCTTTCCTCTCTTGAAACAGGTTTTTGGGAACCTGTTTCAACTTGAATACAATTTCAGTTAAGTTTTCAGGAGACAAAAAGCACAAGATCAAAAATATCAGCATATTTTAACTGGATTCTCTTAGTGCTACTAGCCAGGAGAGGCCTTTAACCTTTTACAATTGGGGGAATGCAGGGGAAGGGATTTAGAAAAGGTGGTATATCAATAACATGGTGTCATGGGGAAGCGGGTCTGACTCTTTGGGATGTTCCAGTAGGCCCAACTGGGGCTGCAGATTTGTTCTCTGGCCCTGAGGTTCCCTATCCCCATGTCAGAAAATAGTTTGATGTTTGTGTATATGCATGTCCCTTGGCGTTCCTTCTTGATTCATGGCAACCAAAGAATTTCAGGGGTTTTGTTAGGCAAGGAACACTCAGAGGTGGTTTTACTGGTTTCTTTCCAACACCAGGCATTTGTTGGCTCTCTCCCAGCCAAGTACTAACCTGCTTGTATTCCAAGATCAGACACAATCTGATGCCTTTTGGGTATTTAGGCCACTAGTTTGATATATGTTTAATTCAAAATGGCCTTGGTGAATTGCCAAGATCACCTAAGCAGACATCATTTTGCAGATACCAGAACATACCATTTACCTGACTCATGACATCCTGTCCAGATGGAGCCATTCAGGAACAATCAAGTGGGATCGTACACATGGTGCAGCACAACAGAATGGAGCATAAGTTCATTGTTTCTTAAGCTCCTCCTCCTGACATTCCCACAGGATTTCCAAAAGAGATGTATCCTAACTCTGAGAAGTAACATCTCAGCAAAATAATATAAACAGGGAAAATGTGGAAATAATGTGATTAACAAAACAGCACATGAGATCTGTCAAAACAAACATCTAACAAGAAGATCAAATACTATAGTACAAGTACAAATATGTCCTATTGATTAGCCTATTGGCCATATCAAAAACATTTGACAAACACATACAGTGCAACTTAAGTTAAAATAAACAAGCTGTTAACAAGGTCCCAATCCAAATCAGATATCTGCATCACCTCTTCAGTTTCCCCCAATCAACTCTAAATATTCAGTTCTCAGCTGTGTTGCTTTAAACAGAAAAGGGGCCGTTTTATATGTTATTTTGGCATTCTATAGTAGATTGGCTCAGCAAGACAATCATAAAAACAAAATCAGAGTAGATGCTGCAGAAGACAGTCTTTCAGAGAGTAACCAGGTCTTTGGGAGACCTCTGATAAATCTGTTTGCAAATCTAGAAATAGTCTGATGTATGAGACACATCAGACCAGTTTATAACCTTGCTGAACCTGGGAACTTTTGTGTACAAAACTCATGTGCTCAGCGACTGAGCTCTGGACCTTTCTTTGTAATAAGGAAATCCTAAGACTAAATCATAAGTATTGTCGAAGGCTTTCATGGCTGGAATCACTAAGTTCTTGTGGGTTTTTTCGGGCTATATGGCCATGTTCTAGAGCAGTGGTTCTCAACCTTTCTAATGTGGTGACCCCCAAATAAAGTTCCTCGTGTTGTGGTGACCCCCAACCATATTTTCGTTGCTACTACATAAATAATTTTGCTACTCTTATGAATTCTTATGCAAATATGTAATATGCAGGATGTATTTTCATTGTTACAAATTGAACATAATTAAAGCATAGTGATTAATCACAAAAACAATATGTTTAGGGGAGTATGGATAATTGATGRTGGGATTTRCGGTACCTTCAACCAATTCAGCTCTGACTTCCACAGACCACTGAGATCCCCCGYGAATTACAGACCTGGACCAAACTTRGYACATAGAACTCCCATRACCAACAGAAAATACTGGAGGAGTTTGGGAGGAGTTGACAGTGATTTATGGGAGATGTAGTTCAYCTACATCYGGAAAGCACTGAGAACCCAAATGACTATGGATCTGGACCAAAYDTGGCATGAATMCTCAATAYGYCMAAATTTRAAAAAKKRTGGMATTTGGGGGRAATGGRTCTTGACATTTRGRTGTTGTAGTTGCTRGGATTTAYAGTTCCTCRGCCAWMAAAAAGRGCATTCTGAACTCCAACAAAAATGGAATTGAAGAAGCTTGGCATACAGAACTCCCATAACCAACAGAAATTACTGGAGAGGATTGGGGTACCTTGACATTTTGGAGCTGCTGGGATATATAATCCCCTCCCACCCAAAAGCATTCTGAACTCATGCAGCCATGCAATGCACTCAAACTTGGCACAGAAAATTCCCATGGTGAACAGAAAATACTGGAGAGGACTGTGGTACATAGACCTTGGCATTTTGGAACTGCTGGGATTTATAGTCCTCACCCATGCAAAAGCATTCTGAACTCATGCAGCCATGCAATGCACTCCAACTTGGCACAGAGAATTCCCATGGTGAACAGAAAATACTGGAGATAACTGATACATAGACCTTGGCATTTTGGAACTGCTGGGATATATAGTCCTCTCCCATCCCAAAGCATTCTGAACTCATGCAGCCATGCAATGCACTCCAATTTGGCACAGAGAATTCCCATGGTGAACAGAAAATACTGGAGATAACTATGATACATAGACCTTGGCATTTTGGAACTGCTGGGATATATAGTCCTCTCCCATCCCAAAGCATTCTGAACTCATGCAGCCATGCAATGCACTCCAACTTGGCACAGAGAATTCCCATGGTGAACAGAAAATACTGGAGATAACTGTGATACATAGACCTTGGCAACTGCTGGGATATATAGTCCTCTCCCATCCCAAAAGCATTCTGAACTCATGCAGCCATGCAATGACCTCCAACTTGGCACAGAGAATTCCCTCCCCCCCCTCATAGACAGATGGCCAGGCATGAGGACGGCATGAAGAGTTTTACTCACATTGCGGTCTAACAAAGGGTAAGTCTTCTTCCCCCGTTCCTTTGCCTCCAAAGCTCCTCCTCCTGACTACCCACATTTCTGTGGGAAGAGCAAGAGGAGGAGCCTTCCAGGAGTGCCATGTGGCTGGGTCCGGGAGTCAGCAGCCATTTTGGAGGGGGCGTGGCCAGCCAAGACACCTTGGCGACCCCCAGAAAATGGCCTAACGACCCCCCCCAGGGGGCGCGACCCCCAGGTTGAGAACCGCTGTTCTAGAGGAATTTGAACATGGCCATATAGCCCGAAAAAACCCCACAAGAACTTACTAAATCATAAGATTGTCTCCATTTGCAGGGAATGTCATGAATCTGTGCACTGACACAAGCAAGCCTCAGCTACCTTGCAATAATTTTCAAGTACACACATTTATGAACCATTATAAGATGGATGTGTTCATCTGCTAAGGCAGCATTCAGTTGACAGGTTTTCCAATATGTTTTATGGCAATCCCTATGGTTTATTCTGATTAATCATTGTATTAATAAGTCTGTGATATCCTTACTCTAAGAATCAATATGTGAAGTGATTTGAACATTGGACTTTGACTTTGGGAAACAAGGTTGGAGTCTCTGTTAGGTCATGGAAACCGGTTGGCTGACCCTGAGCAAGTCGCACTCTCTCAACCTCAAAGGAAACCTCTGAACAAATCTGACCAAGAAAACCCTATGATGAGTTCAACATAGGGTCACAATGAGTCAGAAACAATTTCAAAGCACACAACAACACATTCTTACTGAGAGTGGTTGCTACTTTTCTTGGAGAAAATGGCAAAATAGCAAAATTAAGTTGAGCAGTAGTGTATTGTGATTTTACAGATGGGTAACCCTGAATAGAGCAGCTAATCAAAGCTCACAGAATGGGGTTCATAACAAAGAGGGGGGGAAACTAGATGCTGCTCTTTTAAAAAAAGTAAAACAGATAGATCCTGTCAGAAATAGAAACAGGGTCAAGTAAAACATGAGTGAGAGCCTATTAGAAATAGAGTTATGGTCAGTTAGGAAGAATTGATATGATCTGAATAGAATTTATGAAGCTGAAAATGTGGAAGGACTTCAAAGAGAAATATTAGTTTCTTAGAAACTGGGTGTGCAATCAGCATAATACTATATTATTATTTTATTCTGACACTATTTTTATTATGGGGGTTATAATTTAATAATTAACAAGGTAATTAACCCATTAATAAACATACCAATTGCCCAGTATAGTAGTTACCTGTACAAGAGTACCAGATGCAAGGAGGGATCTTGAGGGTAAAGGAGTGCAGTGGTTGATAGGAACATCTAAGGGTTCCCCCAGGGCCAACCTGGATTGTAGGCATTAACATTACTCAGAGGATGAATCAGAAGCCTCTCTTATAGAGAGGAAAAAGTTGGTAAGTGAGAGATAATGATACTGGGAGAAGAAGAAATAGAGTGTTAATTACCCAAACCGCCTTATTCCTATTCTTCTCTTTCTATCACCAATTTGTTATGGCAGCTGATGACGGCATCCCCAGAAACCTAAGTGTTTGTATATATTTGGAAACTCATATGCACAAAATTCTAGCATAGATTACCTCCAAAGAAAGGAACAAAGCTGTAGAACACAGCTGGGAAATATTGTCTTAATTCAGTGTAACTTTCTGAAATTATGAGAAATAATCAAACTTTCTTAATTATTAAAATTTTGCTCTCTTTACAGAAGCCAAAGAAACCACCACCTCCTGCAAAATCTCCAGGTAATTAAACTGGTTTTATCAGATAACAAAAGAGGAAAACTTGGCTTTAACCTTGTTTAATTTGTATGTGCAAAGAACACTTCAACACATGTTTCTCCTGGAGAGACATACACTACCTTTTTAACATCCTGCCCTTCAGTTTAATAGAATCTGCACGGTTAAGTGCATTTAGAGATAAAATGTTTCAGTGGTTGAGATCTGTGAGTACCACCCTGGGTTAGCTTAGGTTTGGCATTCCTGAGTCGGATTACAGCCAAACAAAATTCATTGTGTGGAATAATTACCCAAAAAATGTCCCTCTTTGGACAATTAATGCATTCTTGGTATCTTTAAAGATGCTGTATGAGTGTCAGTTCTGATGGGCATGTATGATATATTTAACAGTTAGCAATTACGATTGTTCCTGTGCAATATAATTTCTATGTTCATGATTGGCATTCCATTCAGGTTCAAAACCAGAGCTTCTATCTGGAGAGAAAAAGTTACCTCTTCTTAAGAATGAAGAAAAAGGTAAGAGGAGTTGGTGAATGTTGTAAAGCAGTAGTACTGAGTTGTAAAAAAAAGAAAAAAAGAAAAAGAAGGACAATTAAAAAAATTACTCGTGGGAAATGGCTGCCAGTCCTTTCTGGAATGGGGAATTGTTTCTAAATATCTTAGGGTTGTCAAAGTAAAAGAAGATCCAATCCGACTCTGAAGTTTCAGCACCTGCCCTATAAGACAACACCCAGCATATAAGACAACCCCTGACTTTTGAGGAGGTTTTCCTGGGTTAAAAAGTAGTCTTATACATCAGAAAATACAGTAACCTAGTTACAAAATTTGGAAATATAGTTTTTTGTTTCAATGTTTACTGTATCTCTGTTCTGATTAGAACTTTGTCAAACTTCTGTTTAATGTTTTTGACCACTGTGAGACATGTGGCCAACGAAAGATGGTAACTTACCACAAAGGCACTGCTAATCCACTAATGTCTGATTCTTGAAATTATGACAGTGATCACCTACACAGTACTTATAATTAGGATTTGGGAAGACTTTGCATTATGTATGTATGTCTGCCTATCTAAAGTCAAAGTTTGTTAATATGTATGTTTGATTCACAAAGGCTCCCACATGGTTTGATAGATCTTGACAAAACTTAAGACATGTACCCATCATGATTCAATTTAAAATAATGAAGTTTGGGAGTTGGGCTGCTAGAAGATGATGGGAGTTGTAGTATACCCACATCTGGAGAGCCACGTGAATCCTACCAACAATGGATCTGGACCAAACTTGTCACATGACATGTACCCATCACAACCAAGTAGTGCTTAAGTAGTGGTGGGGTTTGGGAGAGATTGACCCTGGACAATGGAAGTTGCAGTTCACCCACATGTAGAGATTACTGTAGCCCAACTGCTTATAGAACTGGAGCAGTCTTGGCACACATACCCATCATGACCAACTTAAAATGCTAGCAGGGCTTTTAGTGAAGGGAGGTTGATAGAGGATGATGGGAATTATGCTCCACATCTGGAAAGCTGTGTGAATACTGCCGATGATGGATCTGGAGCCAACTTGGCACACATACCTGCCACGACTAATTTGAAATACTGCTAAGATTAGGGACATGATGGAGGATCATGGCAGTTGAAATCCAAGCACATTCATAGAGCCTCCTACCCATTACTGAAGGTGTTCCTTTCTTATCTGATTAGACAGCTCACCCCCTATTTATCAGCTTGGGGATGATGGAAGTCTGACCCATCTAACCAGTTAGGAGTAGACCCTTGACTTTCACTCACCTGTCTAATTAGAGTTCAAGACTGGATAGGTACAGTGCTGATGGGAATTGTATCCCACCTGATCTGGGGTAAATGGGAGTTCTAGCCTAACTAGGTCTTAGGCAGACAAGAATTGCATTCCATCAGGTGTATAAATGGACCCAGGATACATTTACACTTTTTCTAATGGGTCTGTTCATAAAATTCAAAACAAAACAATGAATATTTCTAATAAATAGTATTACAAAATAAGTAACCCATGCAGTGCTGGGTAGATAGACTAGTACAACAAATGAGGACTTTGAATATTAAATTAACAATCTTACACCACCCAAGCAATATATTTTGGAAGAAAGAATAAAAACTGGAGGTGATCTAATCAAATCCATAGAGAGGGGAGGAGACTTACCTCAGAATAGTGAAAAATGATGAAATATATATGATACTAAAATAATGGAGCTAGCTAACTAGCTACTGCAACAAACTATAAAACGAAATCGGAAACAAATCCACACATCTACATTGATATATATATACACAAACTACACTAACAAACAGGGAAGAAAGCAGTTCTATGAACCTCTCGCTCACTATCTGATGGTTTTCATCCTTATTGTTCTGCTCCCTTTAAATAACACTCTATAACAGCACTTTTCCTTTTAATAACATTCTTCTAATTCATAAACCTTTCTATTGAAATTTGCCCCATTATTGTTTTGAAAAGTGATAAACAAGTCACCGTCTTGCTTGAAGTTTAATCAAACATTTCTTCTCCTTAATCGGCATAGCTGGTTTGTCCAGTCCAGTTAGTTTGTAAGTTGTAGTTTCATTGCCTTCCTCTAAGACTGAGAGAAAGGGACTTGTCCAAGGTCACCTAATGGATTTCTGTAGCTGAGCAGGAAATTGAGTCTGGGTCTACTTGAATCCAGTGGTCAGTCAAGCAATGCTATCTCTGTAAAAAGAATGTAGATGACAATACATTCAGGCAGATATCACAAAGTCATATTAATATGTACACATTGCATTTATGCCTTCTCTCTTTAAAGAGATATTTTAGTGTAAAAGTATGAAATGAAGGCTGTCCCTTCATTACTCTTGTTGATCCCCTTGTTTTAATAATATTAATGTGATAATCCTAATGGTTTGTTTGTATTATTTTTTGTTATGAATGATGATGATGATGATATTTATTTATTTATAAAACCACCCTATGTTCCCGAGGGGACTCAGGGCAGTTTCCAACTCATATGACAAGCATTCAATACCAATGAGATATGGAATTGAATTTAGATTTCCCTAGGGATCTGAAAATCAGCCTCAGTCCTCGTAGGAAAAAATTCTTATGACAATCCTATGAATAATATTCCTTTAAGAGCCTCAATCATCAACAGCACTATCTAGGCCTTGCAAACTCAGGGCTGTGGCTTCCTTTATTGAATCTTTCCTTTTTCTGGTGCTTTTAACTTTTTTTCCAGAATTACTATATTTTCCTATTAATCTTGTGTATAATTTGTGACATAGGCAATGAATATGTTTCAAGTATTATTTTTCAAAAAATGTTGCATGAAGCCATTTGTGGTATTTTTTAAAGATAGCTTGATTTGAGATTAATCATAATGAAGCTATAAATGTTTCTCATATTTTATTTCCCAGATGAAAAAGCTGCTTTGGATCAGAAAGGATCTAAACCAGTAGCTCCTCAAGTACCTCCCAAAAAGCCAATCCCCCCAAACAAAGTCAATAACATCTTAAGACCTGGGATTCTGCATCCAAAATTGCCAGAGAAACCGGTTTCACAGCCACCAGTATCAAAGTATGTATATCTATGGGTTAGATTATTGGATTGTTAGATTACATTTGGAATCTTACAATAACAGAATGCTGCTGTGTTTCTATGTGAGACTTTTAATATGCAAACAGGTTTTACATTATGGTGACTGCCAACAAAAAGTCAGTTAAGGATGTTGCAATTGCTTCACAAATAAATATACTAGTTAATAGAGTTGTGAACAAGAGGCCCCCTTCTTCTTGAGTTCCACCCACATGGGGTGAATTCTGTTTTCTGAGGTTTACCAGCTGTTACTAGTGGTAAGGAGAGTGAGTTTAATGAAAGTTATTTGTGGTAGGGTGCAGCAAGATGAGAGGTGTGCTTGTGGTTTCCTTATTTCCTAACTGAAACCAGGTTGTGGCCCTTGTGTTGAAAAAAGTGTGTGTGTTGCTGACTCCTCTAATATTCCATTGGGATTAAACTTTAATTGAACTTTACCACTCCGATCACAAAATTTTGAATACATGCTACAGACTTTTACATTTTCTTTCATGATTAGGTTCCCTTCTGTGCTTTCTGCAGTTTACAATCCATTTATCCTACTGTTATGATTGTTCCACCAAATTTTGGGTTGAAATCATACCTTGAAGTTACTTTGCAGCCTACATTCTGGAGTCAGTATTAACCATCATTTGTTGTTTGTTTGCTTTATGGCAAGTTATGTTTAAAACAAACTGAATAATAGAGGTTGGGACCAGTGAAACCATTCAGCTTCCTGGACTGGTCCATGACATGAGGTACCCTCTTGTTTTTGTGTAAGCTTGTACATAGAACATTTATAGAGATTTTTTATTTTCTGATTGAATATCTATATATTTTCAATAACAAATAAATTACAATTTTTTCTCCCCCCCCCCCCCCCAACTATAGAACAAATGGGGAAGTTTTTTCCTGGCGACCAAAATCGGAAATTGAACCTACAGCAAAATTTAAAGATTCTGAACAGTTACCATTGAGACCCAAATCGGTAGAGGTGGACTCAGTTGCAATAAAGAATATGAAAGAAACAGGTATTTTAAAATGTATATAATTAGGGAAATCTAATCTATCATATTAGAAGAAGAAAGACTTTGTTAATATGTCAATAACTATTTCTATTGCATAAGTTTCCAAGAAATTGAGTCCATTCTTCTTCTTTTTTACTGCTACCATCTAACAGGGCTTCCATTGTGGATGTATTGGAATATAAGTCTTTGGTTAATTTTCTGGGATTTTGGGGATCTATGTGTTTTTGTGAATTGTTCCAACATATGAAGTTACAGAAATTGGAAAGTCCACAATAATGTGTACCACTGAAAAAAACATGCTTGTTTAAATTTGGTATCTGGGAACAAGCAAATGGCAGTATATTGGGAAGAACAAAGACACAATAACCATAATAAGTAGTTATTTTTTTAAAGAGGAGTTTGTCATTGAAACAAAAATATATTATCATAAAGAACACTGTCCTTCCAATAATTATACAAGTGTTCAGAAAAGTAAGCCAATGGCCTAAATCCAGTAGCTAACTCCAACTAAATACATTCATTGAAATAACAGTTATCTAAGTGTTTAATTAAGAATTCTGCAGCTGATTCAGTGACTGCATTGTAGTTGGAACTAGCCATTGGATGCATGCGGCTGTTTGACAGCAGTATGTTTACAGTTTCTTAAACTTTGCAGAATTTCTGGAGCTGGTGAATTGTGAAATTTATGAATTCGTAAACTTGACTCTTGCAAGATTTGCCTCATTATGGTATTCTTTAGCCTACAAGTGGGACAAATGTTGAGATGCTATGTTGTTCAGCTGAGGCTTTTACACCAACATTTGACTGTTCACATCAGTATATTGCAACTCAGCCCCTTCTTCCTTGCAGTCACCTCTTGGTTTTCCCCAGTCTCCAAAGTCTATCATATTCCTTCCTCCCAAAAATATATACCCCCTTCACAAACCTAGGAACTCTGTATTTACCAACCTCTCACTTTCAACCACCGGTCTAATACTTTCTTTCCTGCTCCTCTTCTTCTGTCATTCTGATTCTCAACAATTTTCCTAAGCTGGTTTCCAAAGCATCCGCCTCCATAAGAATCCACTTACGTTGCAATATTTTGTATAGGTACACTACACAACCTATTCAGACACACACAAGTATTCCCTCTCTGTTAGAAAGGAGAAATTGCCCAAAGTGTATAAAAACCACAGTATCAAAGAAGTGAGAAAGCAGTGTGTCAATAGAATACATTTTTTCAAAGTGTTATTTTACTCTCAGCTGTTAAATAATTTTCCATACATCAACTGTAGAAAGGAATGTTTCAGTGCTCACAGTTGTCCCTTTATCATAAACATATATATTTGAAGAAGTAAAATGTTTTGAGAAGTATAGCAGCTAAATGAATATATGGATTGGAATGGAGGGCCTGTGTCAAGCAGGTAGAGCACAAAATGTTAGCTGTGCACTACTGAGCATTCAGGGGAAATTGCTGCAGCTACTACTTGTGGATATGGGAAAGAGTTTGACAGCTGCCAGGTTTTGGGTGGTGCTCCTTCTAAAAAGAGACATAAGTACATGTATGTTACCAGCGTGGTGCCAACCTGACACTCTAGTGGTAATAGATATATCTGGTCTTCCTTAAATTAGCAAAACAGAGGATGAAAATAACAAACTCTGGTTCCTTGCTTCTTTGATACATGGGATTCTGAAATACCCTGTTCATACATTATTTAAGAAAATTGAGAAATCAGTAGTTTATTTAATGACACATTGCCAGATGGACTGGCCTAGAAGCCCAGGGTTCCATCCCAAACAAAGTAATAATCCAACTCTATATAGAATTCTTAAGAAAATATACAGCAGCAGCAACTGAGTGCCAAAAGGATATGATATAACATACTAATAAGGAGAAAGCACTGTTTCCAAACTGTTTGTATTACATTTGTTCTTTTTATTTATTATTTGTTGTATTTGTGGCTGACACAAACTATGTTGAATTGGTTGAGACTCAATAAGATATTAATTGCACTGCAAAATGTCCCACAGAACAAGGTTTTTACAGTTTAATAAATCTTGTCCATGTTTTTATGATAGAACCAATTGGGAAATGATATTTGTAACTCAGGAACAAAAACAGTGCTACATAGTGTAATTTTAACTATAGAAAACAATTGGGTCCAAAGGCTTTAATGAAAAGCCAGCTTTTAACTTGGCTCTGAAATTTTTCTAATGTTAGTGCCAGTTGAGCATCTAGAGGGAAGGAATTCCATAATTGGGGTGCCACTGTGGAAAAGCCCCTACTGCTGGCTTTTTATTATTATTATTATTTGTTTGTTTATTATTATTATTATTATTGTTTGTTTGTTTGTTTGTTTGTTTGTTTGTTACCCGCCTGTCCTCACGGCTTGAGGCACAGTTAAAACACATCACCATAAAACATTGAAACACCCTATCACTATACACACACACACACACATTGTGCAATGATCAAAATACAATTTAAAATTGACTTAGTATGCCTGCCAGAAGAGATAGGGTCTTCAGTTCTGCCTTGAATTCTGCCAGCTCATTTAACTATTGAATCTTTTCTGGCAGGTCATTCCACAGTTGGGGTAGGGTGGTGTGGTGATGGAAAAGGCCTCTGGGTGATGGCTGGTTGGAATAAATGCCCCTCCAGAGGACCTCTGAGTTTACATTGGAGAAGGAGATCCTGTGATCACTGCTTCTTAAACTATGGGTCCTGACTCAAATAGGGTCCACTTAGCTCCATGTTGGGTCATGAAAAATTTAGCAACAGTAAAAGGTTACAGTGTACTCTGCAGAAATTGCTTTAGTTGTACTTCCTAAAAAGGAAATCAGCCTGTTCAGCAGGCCTTGCAAATGCTGATTAATTATCAGTAAATGTTTGATTTTTATACCTATTTTATATACCTGGGGTCATGACAAAATTACTGAATGTAATAGTGTCACGAGTGGAAAAAGTTTAAGAAGCCCTGCTGTAAGTAACCTGAATTCAAACCTTACAGGGCTTTAAAGGTTATAACCAACATTTTGTACTTTACCCTCACCCATATCTCCCACAATGTATTTCCCCTACAGCTGTGACACAAATGAGAGCCTCTCCAATAAATCTCAATTACTAGTTAGTCATATTTAAATTGAGCTTCTCCCTGAGATATTGAGGTTCCGAGCGATTTGGGTTTTAAATGTTCTGCCACACTTTGAATTCAGAATAGAAACATTGATGGCCAGTGCAGATTATATGATACCTGGTCTGATATCATATACTGTAATGCCCTTGCTTCAGTTTCCAAGTTGTCTTTAAGAGTGGCTGCACAAAAATGCACTGTAGTCTAGTTGGTGTTCTAGGTGTTGCGTTTTTAGCAGAATATATCAAGATGTTTTGGAACATGGCTCAGTCTGTTTTGTACATGTTGAATGTGAATTCGCTGGGGTTGTCAACATTTTCTGTATTTGAACAAACTTTTCTTCAACATCATTTAGGCCTTATGGTCAGTTACTTACCTTCCTTCTTACCTTCCTTTCTTGGATTCTTTCCCAACTGTAATCAGGGCTTTCCCTTAAAAAGCCAAGTTTTACCATGCTAGTGTCCACCTGCCAATGTGTCATAAAATTGCTGAGTTCAGTCTGCTGTTAGATTCTGTTCATGAATCTTAAAGATTTTTTTTAAAATCCCCTTCATGGTTCAGTGCAATTGAATTAATTATGCTGGATGTTTTACAGCAATCTAGCATTGCCCCCATTTAAAAGTGTTATCAGCTATGTGTTTTAAAGCTATGCTATAATAAAAAAAATATGACTACCTAAGAGAAAAATGGTACAATTTGACTTGTTGTGCTTGCTGGTCTCTTCTGTGTTTCTGTCTTCAGTGTTAGTCTTTGGCAAAAAATATATATGCAAAAGTCATTTCTCCTCTTATGCCTCACCTTGTTTTCTCCATCACAATTTGATTTTGGTATCTCTTGCTGTTAAGCCTAGTGCATCATGCTGCTAAGATGTAATTGGCTAGTTTAATTTTCTACATTAGTCAAAGCTAAAAGACAAAAAAAATTGAAAAATTGCTTCGATAACATTGCTTGAAAGATAAAGCCGTGTTGGTCTTTCTGCAAGGGCAGAAACACTTCTTTCTATCACTGTAAAATGTTGAAACCAGCACAAAAGGGTGGAGAGATCTGAAATACGCCTCCGTAACTTAATACCAGAAAGCATGTGGTCCTTCAGATGTTGCTGAACTTCAATCTCCCATCAAGCTAAGCATGTTAATGGCTGGTGTTCAAAGATGGTAAGAGCCTAGCAACATCTGGAAGGCCAGACATTTCCAAGCCCTGGCCTAGTGTTTGCAGTTTACTGCTGTTATGGTTGCTGTTTGCTATGAGGAATCCTGCTTCATGGCCCCATCATCAAAAGGAAAAAAAGGTTTTATTTTTTAAAAAAACACTTTTTGAAGGCCTTCTGCATGTTTACTACATTTCAGATTTCTATTCTGAAAAGGCTAATGTTCATGCTTGCTTTTTAAAAATTTTCCTAAATCTGCATACTTCTATGCATGTTTCCAATTTTTTTTAGTTAAATAGTACATTGCTAAATTTAAACTTTTCAGACAGCAAATATATTCCATTCCTTTTTTTAAAACCCACATTCCTTTTAATTCCCCAGAGTCTTGTTCTTTTACAGAAGCCACCAAGGACTTGGACATACAAGTTAGATTTTATTTTCCCCAAAAGAGGACGGAACAATGTTCTGTGTCTCTATGTTTCATCCATAGACAAAAGCATACCAGGATAAACATTCATCCAGCAAGACATTTTCATTATGTTTTTGGATATCTTGCTTTACACAAAACAACAGTTCCACTTCATGTGCACATGTGTTTTCGGGCTCTGGATGTTTAAATATCATGCTCATCACCCAATCAGTGTCTGTGATTTTGAATACTGAAACATTCATGCAGAGTATTTTTATATAATTCATCTCAATAAGGTACACATTAGATTAGCAAAAATACAGTATTTCTGCAT